TAACCGCTGATAAATATTGGTTTGTACTAATCCGAACATAATCAGATAGTAATGTAAATATATAACATATTATATATTTGACTAATATGTAATATCTTATATATTTATAATATTACTTGATTATATTTGGGTCACACACATATAATTATATGCGTATGCATGTATGCATATATACATGCATACGCATATAATTATGTATATATACAAAAAAAAAAAAAGGTTACCCCATAGCCAAGTAAAAAAATTTACTTCAGGTTCACTTTCATTCTAAATATTGAAAAAAAATAACTTCAGTTATATTTTTATAATAAGTAAATAAATTTACTTAATATATAAATTTACTTTTACATAATTCTACCTAGATTGGGAAATTCTAAATCCAAATTATAAAAAATATAATTTTACAATCTATGCCAACTAAGAGTTCAATCAAAATGACAATAATGCAGTTACAACTACAGTCTAATTAATAATGTATTCCTAATTAAAATAATTTGTATGAATTGATTCTTTCTGGGTGATTTCATGCTTTTTAGGGTGATTGTCGATAAACTCAGGTAGGTTCTTGATGGTCATGAATGTAATAAAATTTTTAAAAGGGTTATGTCTTTTGAATGTAATAAAAATTTAAAAGGGTTTAGAATGCACTAAGCTTTGATCCAGGGAAATTTCTAAAGAAAGTATTTATCCAAATTTTAGGAACACCTCAAAATTTTTTTTATTATAAATAAACTTTAAACTTTCCCAGCAAATTAAAATTTTTTGTTTTTAGGACCATCAGAAGTTTTGCTTAGTTTTATTGTTTACATGTTCAATTTTATCAAAAATTGAAATTATTTCAAATAAATCATAAAACTTCAAAAGTTTGCAATTATTTTGTTAAAAAAAAATAATTTTGTACAATATAAACATTGTACATAATTATTAAAATGCAAAGTTCAAAGTTCATTGTAAAAAATTGTTATTATGCAAAGTTCTTTTGGATTGAGAAGACATTTAGATAAATCCATTATTTTATTTCAAATAAAGATGACCAAACAAAAAAGATTGAGTTTAATCAACAATTGATTTAATGACAAAAAAAATTCATAAGGAGAAAGATTGGCTTGTTTTGCTTCTATTGATGGATTTTCTACCAATAGAATTAAATTCATGATTTGCTTCATGATTTTACCAAAATCAAAAACAAATGTCATGAATCTTATCTATAAATAATGGAAATAGTGGAAGAAAATAGAAGAAAGATTTTTGAAATAAAAAAAACACTTAAGTTTAGTTTTAATCAATTTTCACTTAAGTGAAGATTTATGATTATTATATATATTATGATACTTGGAGAGAATGTTATGATTGTACAACCTATACAATAAAATTTATCTAAATATAAATAGCGTAGTGAATATTATTATTATTATTAGTGCGCATAGTTACACATTGTTATGCCTATGTTCGTTTTGTTAATTACGGTTCTGTATTCTGTAAAATACACTATTTCTTATTTTTAAAGTTGTTTCTAGATTTTTCTAAGCGCGGCTATATATTCCATGCAGTCTTTCGAGTAAAATCAGCAAGCAAATCGGATCTGATTTATTTTTATTTTTAAGAAGAACTGATGTTGTTAATTTTTTAAAATAAAAATTTAAATAATCGTTTGTTTTTTGTTGGTTGTTTTTATTTTTCTAATTTTTATAGCCTGTTTTCATTTTTTAGAAGAAGTTAGAACTAAAATGACTGGTAAAATAGTTTTTTTAGTACAATTTTTCTTTTTTAAGAAAACTGTCACTTTTGTCGTTAGTCTTTTTAAAACATTTTAAGCAAGTATTTGTGTATTTTTTAGAGCAGTTAAGAGGAGCTGATCGCTTTTTTAGTAAGTTTAATTTATTTTCTCATACATAGATTAAGATTTTTATAGAAAGAATAATGAGAATAAAATTTTATTTATGTATTTAATATGAAGTTAAATAAAATAAGACTGTTATTTGTGGTCATGTAAGTTTATATACATAAGTTTGCGTTTATTTTAGTCTATTTTATATTTCTCTATATCTATATGTATATTTTCTCTTAGGAAAAATAATTAGAAATAGAAAAATTAAGAAAATTTCTTCTGGAAATTGTCAAAAGAGTGTTGTGTTATGCTTCATTTTAAGGTATCTGAATATGTATTTATTAGAAATTTTAAATTTTGTTCTTAAATGGTTTCATCTTTTTTATTACTTTAGATAAATATATACTGACTGACATAACTTCATTTTTATTAACAATGTTGTGAATTGTAGTCTGCATTCTTCGCTACATTAAAAATAATTGATGCTAATAAATGTTGTTTTATAGTTGTTAAAAGTTTCCATATATGTTTATATTATGGTCAAAGTTAATTTTTTTTTTGATAAATGCGTGTATGTGGTGATATATGTTATATAGTTGTTTTATAAATCTGTTTTTATATGTGTTTTTATAAAATTATGAAATGTATTATATCTAATTTGTGCATGATTGTTAAATGAGGTGTTTTTATATGTTAACTAACATTAAAAAATTATATTGTGTTTTATAGTTAGTATATATGTTTATATAATGTTGTTTCCATGATTTCAAAGTGTTGTGACTTGGCAAACGTGTAGAGCAAAATTTGTCAACCTTACTAGTCAAGCGATGTTACTGCTTTAGGTCTAAGCGTTGCCTAGCCTTCAATATAACTTCTGAAAATACATAACATTATCTTTAATAATTTTTTGCGTAATGTTGTGACCTTTGGCTTATCTTTATGTTGGTGTCCGCTGTTAAAAATGATTAATAGGTAGTTTCATTACTAGAACTCACTGCTTTTATTTATTTACTAAAAGTCATTCAAGATATCATTTTGCTATAAATACATTTTGTTTACCATGAAATAACAATCAGGAACATTGATTTTCAATTCACATATGATGCTTTTTCTTGTATTTACTTATTCGTTACATTTTTAACTTCAGATTTATCATATGGTGTATTTATTTGTTATAGAAGAACAAATCATTTTTAATTTTTTATGAATTTTTTAAAAAATATCTACTGATAATTAGTTCAGTCAACATTTAAAGTTCAATGTTGCATATACCATTTAGTAGCTTCTAATCTTTTTTAAATGCTTTTCTTATTCAAGTGGTTTTATAAACAAGGTCTGCAAGCAAATTTGAGCTGAAAAGTTTTTCAGCTTTCAAGGAGAATTAATGTTGTTCTCTGTTTAATCTAATTTGTTTAAATAGAGTACAGGGCTTGAATTAACGCAAAAAAATTTAATCGCGAAAAAAAAACTTTCTTCTTTTTTCTCCCCCCTATACCTTGTGCCGCGTTAGTATATCATGCGGTAGTGGTGTAGTGGTAAGAGCGCTCGCTTTGTAAGCGAGAGGTTTGGAGTTCGACTCCCACCATGTCCCTGGAAGTACTGTGCTCAACTTAATTTCTCCGCGCAGCGGCCTTGCTTGTCAAGGTTCGTGTTTCAGAGTTAAAGAGTTGAGAGAGGGTTGTACCACGATTTACAAAAAAAAAAACAAAAAAAAATGAGTAGCCTCCTTGACTGTAGTGGCCCCCTTGGGCCTTGAGTAGGTGAATAATTTAAATATATATATATATATAATATATATATATATATATATATATATATATATATATATATATATATATATATATATATATATATATATATAATTGTAAGTTTTGTACGTAATTGTTCTATTTTTAACATATTATCTCTCATATTTAAATATAATCTTATAATTTTCTTGTTTGGCAGAGTTTAAAATAGCGTAAGTTACTGTTATTATTTACAACTTAAGTTATAACTTGAAGTTGTTTCTTCTAACTTATTTTCAATTTCTCAATTTTTTTTTCTATTTCAAATTTCAATCACAAAATTATTTGAATAAGTGAATTTTAAGGCTAAAGTTCTCTTGTTCAAATAGATTTCTTTTTAAATAAAATTCCTGAAAACAACTTGCACATTTATAGAAAATGTTTAGTCTAGATGTCGCTATAAATAAAATGAAAATATAAAAAAATGGTGTCGCATTTTTGTCATACTTTATTCGACAATTTTTGTTAAAGTAATTACTAGTTAAAAGCTTATATTATGTTTTAACAACATGTAAGATCAAAATTGAAACATGTCTATGGCTAACTTTTGCAAGTATATTAAATAAATTAATATAATTGTTAAATTAATACTTGAGTAACTATCTTAAGTTACTATCTTAACTGGTTGTTTTAATTTAGGTTATAAGTTAATTTACTATGATACACTCTATCCATTCAGTAAAGTTAACTAAACATAACTTCAATAGTTTCAAGGTCGTTAAAAGCGAAAAACGTTGCTGGTTTCTATTAGTACAATTTTACTAATAGAAATTTTATTTAATAAAAACGAATTAGTATATATTTTATTATACTTAAAGTAGTAAAAATAATTATATAAAATTGTTTATAAAATAATAATTTAATTTATTATTAATAAGTTTATTTGGAGCAACGTTTTTTTTAAAAAAAGATAAAAATGCTGTTTTGTTAAAAAAAATAGAATGAAGAAAAATTTCTGTTTAACTTTTGTGTTTTTAATTTGCTACTAAGCAGAGATTTATATATATTTTATTATAATTAAAAGTAGTAAAAATAATTATCTAAAATTGTTTAAAAAATAATAAATTAAATCATTATTATTAAGTTAATTTGGAGCAACGTTTCTTTTAAAAAAAGATAAAAATGCTGTTTTGTTAAAGAAATAGAATGAAGAAAAAATTATTTTTAACTTGTCTTTTTAATTTGCTTCTACACAGAGATTTAAAGTAGTTTAAATTAAAAAGTACTTTACGTTGAATAAAAATCTCCTCACGAAAGAGCAAATGATCATGCTTCTATTCAAAAGACAGACTTTGCGTGACATACTTTACCATGAAAACATTACTTTTTAAGAATTACCAAAAGAAAAAGCTAAATTAGAAAAAAAGTTAATAAACAACTAAAAAAGTAAACCAATCGCGAAAATATATGTTTCAAGAAAAAACTAATCGCGAAAGTATAAAAAGCAATCGCAATTCATGATCGCGATACGCTTAATTCGAGCCCAGGAGTAGTTTTAATAAATGTTTATTTGTTCTTTGTTTTTTACTTATTTGTTTTCGGATTCTTAAGAACTAGGCAACTTAGCGAAGCAAGATTTGTTTTATTTTGAAGTGCAATTAGAAAGAGCGCTGGAGTGCTTTTTAGTCACTTTAAATCAAATTGTTTTTTTG